GTCCCGCAGCGAGTCCTTGCATAGTTGGCAAATTGCCACGGACGGGCATGTACATTTCGTTGCGTTCATCGGGTCAATCCCAATAAGGAAAGGAGAAGAGCCCGGCGTTAGGTGGACGATCCGGCTGGCTACACGACGCGCCGAGAGGCATATCCGCTCACGTGACTTGTTAGATTCTCACGTAGTGCATGGTCGGTGACCGCCTTTCACTATTCAACTTCAGAAAAAACAAGAAAACCGGTCGCAGTTGACAGTGTGTGGCTTTTCTAATTGAAAATTGAATTACTTGAATGCATTGGGAAGTAAACGACCTTGGTTTCGAAATATAGAGGATAAAGGGCAAAGCACTTTGCACTTAGCAGTCGTTGACGATAACCCGCCCTTATTCGACACATACCGTGATCTATAGAACCGTGATTTCACTTGCATCATGAGCCCACAGTGTGTGCACCACAAAGTAATGCAAATCAGTGCTCGCTCACAGGCCTAATTTGGTTGTGAATCACATACTATAATGCTCGTAAGCAACTAAATTTGCATGACTTCCACAGCCTGTAGTGTATCGTACGATGAGCACAATTGCCGTTCAAAGGTTATCGGCCTCTCAGCTCAACTTTGACGATGCCTGACTCCCTCCTTCGCCTGCACACTGTGCTTCCCACATAAGGGTTCCACTCTCAGATTCTCTTCGAGCTGTTTTCCAGGTAAAATGCAATTTCTTAGTATTGGAGTAGTATTATTTGGGAAACTTTCTGTGTTAGAACTAAGCAGTACCAGTAAGCGCTACAAATGAAAGGTATTGCAAGATATAGATATCAACAAAAGCCGTGGGAGCCTTAAAAAACTGGTGCCCGATTTTCTCAACTCGACAAGGAGAAGCACCACAATCTGAACCCGAGGTCACTTTAAATCGAAATCAGTGAAGTTCACCCCAGAGCACCGCACATCGCGGTAGTTGATTCGGAAGTGGAATGATGTGGTCATGCTGTAGCTCAAGCCATTCTGGCCACCCTGCGATTGTTCTGGCACAGGCTTTAACCCGCGGTCATTCCCGCTTATTAGGGGTGAGTTCTCTCTTGTATGTTCTACTCGCAATGCGGGTATCTTCTCGGTTGTAAGAATAAAACTTTTTCACCGTTGGGTCATTAGTCATTGGTCATCAAGGTCATTGCTATCTTTTCCATAATTGATATCACCTGGTCATGTAATCATCACACATATAAGGTTACTGAAAAGTAAAGGACGCCACATTCGTAAGCATAACTTCGAAGATATAGACCAGGTAGACAAATCTACTTTATTGAGGAGTAGAACTGCGTAATCAGTTAGGACAGGGGGCTTTTGCTCTCACCCAGGCGTCTAGACGTTCGATAAGTGAACCAACAGTGTCCGCAGATTGTCAACATCGATATCGTCCCACGCCTTCTGAAACACCAACGGCATAGTGTCCAACGAGCAGTAGGAGCGTCTCGTGACCTTGCCCTTCAAAAGCCCTCGTATAGTGAAGTCTATTGGATCGAGGCGTGACGAAGGGGAAGGTCAAATGTCCTTGCCCACTACCCGGAGAAGTGCTTAGCGTGTACGGCTTTCGTCGATTTTGAGGCATGCAAAGGGGCCCGATATGGAAATGCATAAAGAATTCCAGTTATCATTTCCCTCACAATCAGTCAGCTGTGCCGACGTTGTCTTGGTACAGTAATTTCCGCACTACCTCAGATAGAATTTTACCACAAAGATTCCCAAATGAAATACTATTTCCTTCAAGTGTTGAGAGAACGATATCGAAAGATTTTCTCGACTGCTTGCGCTAGGTGTAGGCATAGTTCATCACAAAAAACCTAGAAACAATGGATTTTCTCAGCGCCGGGATCAGTTTTAAGTGCTACCAAAAAGCTTTTGTAGCTTTTATAGGAACAAGGGGTGTCTCATCTCATGGTGTTAGCCAGAAGGAGCAAGCACTGAATAATATCGTTTTGAAGTCTGTTTAACATAGGTTTCCATGACTCTCCATTAATCCCACATCACTGATGGCTTCGGGTATGTGTAAGGACTATTATTCGTTTTGTGTAATGACAGATCACCTGTTACTGATCTCTCTGATCACTATTTTTCTCTTGTGCCCCGTTCCCGCAGGTTCCACCGCTATTTTGCCTTTATTTCCTTTTTTGAGCCTAGCACAGTTCAACCATGTGAATACCCCTCACAGTGCACTTTGTTCATACTAGAATAACACTTCGAGCGAAAATTATTCCGGTTTTCTACATTCGAGGGACTTCCCGATTTCCTCCTCCACTACGTGATATCCTTGCATGATCCCGAATCGTCGAAAAGTATATCACGAGGAGCCTTAACGACGGTGTGCAGTCTGCCAAGGTTTTTGTGACATATGCTTTTGCGACTTTATCTAATTTCCGAGCTATCGTGGTTTGCTTCTGTTGGCGTTTATTGCTGCATTAGTTTTCATCATCACATAATTAATATAAGGGATATAAGAGCTTTTACATATTTTATATTTTATACGTGTGCAGAGACATAATTTCAAAAATTACATAAAAATCACATAAAGTATACAGAAATGGCATCCGGCTGGAAATATAGCTGAAGGGAATTTCAACAACGGCAATAATTTATCCCGAACGAAATGGATATGAGTCGGAACACGCCACCGCTGTCACCTCTCAGAAAAAGGCTGCTGAGCATGTATCAATCAGCAGGGTGATGTAGTGGGAAGTGTACTACAAACCAGTGGTCCTGGGAGCCAATCGTGGATCGATACTCGCTTAGACCCACCAAGAATCCCAATATCCAGTGTCGATTAATTAGTTCTCGAATTGTCTGTGAGGATAGAATCATTGGCGGTGAAAACGTAGTTGGGGGGTGCCAGCGCCCCTTTGTGCTGTGCGTCTCTGACACTAGGCGGCACAGTGCGTAAAGATCGCAGAGATAGATTCCTCTACCGAGGAGCTCCGAGGTGGGAGAGATGATTATCTCGGGCAAAAAGCTGGGATGGGGTGAAATTGGACATCCAACTGGTTCACCCACCCCGGAGCTCCTTTCCTACTTTCGAAGAGAAGGAGCTCCGGGATGGATGAGATGATTATATGGGGTAAGAATTGAACAGACGCAGGCACAAAAGGGCTCTGTCTCGAGTATGAATGGAAGTTGAATGCGTTGGCCGTCCCAGGAATGTGATTGGTTAAAGCCAAAGACTTGATCATTTAGGTATTAACCACATCCACGCATCGAAATCGAAGAGACCTGAGACGAGTAGTCAAGGTATCGACCTTGTGGCAACCTGGTTTCGATGAGGGATCACAATAGCTAGTACCGGCCCATGTCCAAATGGAACAACTCTATTATCTACCAAGTAGATGCTTTTGTAACGAATTTTAGCACTGGGACTATTGAAAATGAGCATTTCAATATTCAAATCATCAGATGAAAACAGGGGCACTGTCTTTAATTGGTCAGATTATATCAACATTCATTAAGCACTCGCTGTATAACACCACTAAGCACCAGAAGGCGATCCTTGTAGTTCTCGCCACCGACGATTAGCCGGTTGAGGAAAGAATGAGCCATGACGCTGTCGTCGACCTCAGTGAATTTCACGCGCGCCTCTTTACATGACTCATCGGCTGCCATGCACCAATCGCGAGCCCTGTCCAGCCATGCCCACAGCGATTCTGCAGTCAATAAACATTGAACGAGACACATATTCCAGTCTATTGTCTCACATTTTCCCTGAGTTATCAAACATTTTACTCAATGAAGAGTTCTGGAATACTTACCAACTTCGCTGGCGAAACTTGTACCGTCTAGGTAATGTGAATCTTGGCCGGACATAATTTCCAGAATAGGTTGTAGAAATGGCACAATAGTAGGATAGTTATGGTTCTCGAGCTTTTCTCCCCTCACTAATGATTCACTGATGCTGTTGAGGGTTGCGTACTCGTTTTTGGTGTTAAGGTCGAGAGAGTCCCATAGCCACGATATTGATTTAATCTGAAATGATCAGCTTATCCAGTATACTTTGTGAAGAATTTATTATCAATAACCTTCAAAAACTCTAAACTGGAAGGTTCGTTTGCCCCTCACTCAGACGAACCTCTCGTTCCTACTGTTCCTCGGGGCTCATCAGTAAGAGTTGGACAGTCAGAACTAGGATTTAACCTGGTTAACAATCAGTCGAGACTTTTTAAATATCAATTTTCAAGACAAGGAAGCTGTATGGAGGGCACAAATACCAGTGTTGGTATAACAGAGAATCTCTGACACAGTATTAGTATTACACGGAATTAAAAATAATTTAAATTTTTCTAAACATTATCGGGAAAATCGTTGTTACACGAAAGTTTAATGAAGTACTATCTTTTTCATGGAAACACTTGAGAAGTCCACAATATTCTATAGGTTCAAGATCCCTTTGTTCTCCCGTAAAAATTTCATCAACCAAGTACGCATGAATGTCAGAAGTCACAACCGTCACTCGCTGATCCTAGAGAATCTTAACCCTAAACATTTGGTGCAATTGATCAAAAGCATGTGCAGAGTGGGGGTGGGGGTAACGGAACTTTTCCCCGATTGCGGCATCCTCCCTTGCGGCATGCGGCAAATGTCATTGCAATTACCGTATTCACCCCGCCTCCCGCCAATCGATAGGACGCGATATTTTTCCTTGACTGGCTTGCTTTTTTATTGGATTTTATCGTTTTTTCTTCTGTTTCTTTTTAGTTTTCGTGTTTATTAGACTTGATTAATCAAAATGACTCCTCCTATATAAACGGCGATCAGGATCGCATTGGAACTGAAGAGAGCGGCTGGCCAATTCAAATGTTTAAAGGACTCCCCACCTCACAAATTGCGCGCTCCAATCTTCCATAGCAATCCTGCGATAGGCGGCGGGTGCGGTGTGTGCGACGCCGTGTTAGGGGAGAAGTTCCCGGACCCGGGGGTGGGGGGACGGTAGTTTGATGCGACTCGAAATGCGCGTGGGAAATTGCGCGGAGAAATCCACGGCGATTTTGACGACTTTAGTGCCTATTACTGGGGCCCAAATTCGAGTGAGAGTAATCAGCAGGATCAGCTGACCATACTAATCTACCCCACTTCAAGTTTGTGACCGAATAATAGGTGCCAGAGTCGTTTAAATCACCACGAATTTCGCTGCGAGATCGCCGCGCGCAGTTCGAATCGCTGCTTTCATAGTCCGCAAGCGAGCGAGCCGGTCGGGACGGGTGTGTGTCAAGTCGTGCGTCCGAAGATGCGCGCGGCAAGTTGCGCGGCGAAGTTCGTGACGAATTTGGACGACTCCGGCGCCTATCATTGGGGCCCAAATCTGAAGTAAGGTAGATTAGTAAGGTCAGCTGACCCTCCTGTTGTACTGTACTTCGAAATTGGGCCCAAATAATAGGCGCTAAAGTCGTCAGAATAGCTATGGGTTTCGTCGCGCAACTTGCCGCGCGCACCCTCGGACGCACGACTTGACCGTCCCCCGGCCGGGACTACTCTTCCTGCGGTATCGACCAAGATTCACTTGCGAACAGGGGGGTGTCGGCATTTGGTTCCACGGTTCCACACTTCTAATTACTTCGCACCTTTCTCGCGCATCCACCCACTCGCCTGTGGGGTGACCTCCCTTAATTAGTTGGCTGTGACCTCTCTGGCAGTCTGAGTGAACTGATACTGAATCTATTGATTGGAAACTGTGTTATTATCATTACTGATGTTATTATATTATTATTTGTTATTATTACACATTTTAAAATAATATGCAGTTGGGACAATAAAATGTAAAAATTCAAAATCTTTATATTATAAGGAAACTATGAAGCATTGTCGGTGACGTATCTAGACATTTTCCTGCAGAATTGCTCTGTTTCCTGCTCACTTGGTCCNACTTGGTCCCGATAGATTAGAACGTGATGCTTTCTTCCCTTGCTTACCTGCCTGCCTTTCGCCATTTAGGTGTGCTCCGGATTTGAGGTAGCTGTAGCTGCCCCTAGGTTTCTAAAAACGAAGGGTTTTGGTTGCCAGATCTCACAGTGCTTTCGGATGCTGAGGATAAATATAAAAGGAATCCGGAGCTACAGCACTCGAGGGAGCAGAAAGGGAATTTACAAGAGGTGGAAGGGGTGCAGATACATGAAATAGAGGTGGTACAGTGTATTGTGGTAGGCTAGCTAAGTACAGGGATCCGTAGAAATAAGAAGGAGCAACAGTAGCAGCTAATCCTGAGTTGAAGCCGAGAAAGCTCTGTAGTAAAACTCAGAGTAGTACAAGTGAGACATCGTGCTCATGCAATGACAAGCACACTACAGGGGTGATTAGTGATGCCTTCATCAACATATTTGAATACCTTCAAGTGACCTACTGGCGGTGTCCAAAGAAAGCGATAGAGGGTGTTAAAAAAGCTTGAAAGGTCACTTTGTCAACTAGTTTGCCTGCAGGCGCCTTGTGAGAACGACTGCTTACACGATGTGATAAATTTTTTTCCCCATCCTGTGATTTTTCCACTCATTACTTTAGCCTCCACAGCTTTCTGTGTTGCACTATTAAAGTGTTGCATATTTATTTTTTGTTTTGCCTTATTTTTCATGTTTTAGAAGTTTCTTAATCATATAACCGATATTGTTACTCCTGAGTATGGCTGTGTGGCAGAGAGGTCAGCAGCCAACCAAGCAAGGGGCAAGCGCCACTCCGGGCGTTCCCTCGCGCACTTGGGGCCGGACGGCGGACGGTGAAAGCAGCCAACCGCACGAATGTACACACGCCCGGGCTGTGTGCCCATGATTGATGATTTAGCTGACAGCCCTTTTATACATTCCACGTTCGTTGCCATGTTCCATAGACGGAAAAAGAATTTTTTTCATAGATGAATTTTTTCATAGCTCATTTTGTGAAGGCTAACCTATAGTGATTTCTGAGTTTACTTCAAAAACTCACCGATTTCTCCGACAGTGCACCGGTAATACATGCACATGCGAAGGCGTCACCATTTCGTGCTAACGCAGTTCCGATATGAATCCATTTTTGTAGGATAAGATGTGCATCTTTACGAGCACCAGAGAGTATCGACAAAAGGCAAGAGCAGCGAAGCGTGCTACTCCTTGAAAAAGCCCAATCACAGTGAAAATTAGCAACTCAGCACTATAAACGACGACTGGCTGCTTCAATACCTTTCGATCAGTTCGTGCCGTAGAGATGATCCGCTCGGAAGTAGAACTAGGCGTAGGCCGTTAATCGTCTTACAATTCTGCATCTTAAATAAGGAAGTTAAAAGCATCAGGACGGCTCCTTCTTCAGACGTTTGAATTATAGTTTTGTGGCCTCTGCAGTGCGTTTCATAATTATAAGGTCACCCTCAAATTTTGCACTTTCAGAAAAAGCAATAATTAAGGATTTTTTTAGCATCATGAACGGATTTCCCAGCACGAATAACCTAGGTTTCCGTTTTTCAGCCGCAGCTGCATTTTCTGAACTTTTTTAGAACAGTTTATCGGATTTTGCACCGTTTCATAATTATAAGGTCACCCCGAGAAAGTGAACAATTATTCATGGAAGAGAGGAAATTTCGTGTTCAAAGATACTTATAAGGGTAAGCATGTGTAGCAAAGGCATTTCTAAACCTGACTGTCAACATGGCTCGTGGTCATCTGCTTTCCTCTGATGAGAAGGCTCATCATGAAGGTGGGCTCAGTACTCGAGCCATCTCCAGGCAAACAGGGAGATCCCCTTGGTCCATTCAAAGATTTTTGGGGAACCCAGTTGTCCCTAGATATAACACCGACTGTGGACACCTATGGAAGATTACTGCAGGTGACGA